CCGCGCTCCTCGCCCCGACCCCTCCTCAAACCACAAAACTTCCCCCAACTCCATCAACTAAGTTGCCCTCTTACCGTGCGGCTCCCGGGGCTCCCCCGCGGGCCGAGCCGGAGCAGCTCTCCACCTTCGCCACGGAGAAGGACAACAGACGGCCGCTCTGCGGCGACGGCTACTAGGCGAGGAGCCGACACGGCGGTTTCGACCGAGCCCAGGCGCTTCACCACGGCCGCTCCGGCTCCGCGCTGGCCCAGCACACAACCAGCTACCCACGCATGCGCCGCAAGCCACCGGGCTTTGGGCGGGGCACTAGAGGAGGGCCGTCAAACCTAGGAGCCCTCCTGTGAGTAAGCGCGGAAACCAGGGCCAAGAGCTGGGATTGCATGGTAGAGCTGCCCATCAAACTCCGTGAGGCCAATAGAAGTCTTTCTGGGCAGTGTGCTCTGGTTGCTAAGGGAGGCTGAGGTTGACCGCCGCCGCTGCTCCGAAGCAAAGTGATCAAAGTCGGGTAGCCAGCAGCTGCGGCTGGTTGAAATGCCCACCCACCTTCTTTCCACCCCATCTCCGGAAACCGCCCTTCCACAGTGTGCTGGGCGCTTACTTGAGCTGTAGCACTTACCACACACACTCAAATGATTTTTTCTTCTATTCTCCCCCCTAACTCCAATGAGGAAGTGGGGTCTTCCAGTTGTCCTATGTAAGAGACACATGCTAGGTACTCAACAAGTGTTATTTGGGTAGATGGCGCGATGGAGAGATCAGGACTGTCACTATGCATTGTGAAATTTTGGCTACTCGATCACCACAAAATTTTAGGCTTACAAATGCAAAGGTCCTCAGAAATCATCTGGTGGCTTCTGAGAAGCAAAATATGGTCCAACTTCCAATGGTGGTCCAGGATATTATATTGGAATACGAAGAAACGTTTTCACTCTGTGTGTATTTTAATAAGTATTGCAGAGGAGGGTGGGAATGACTCTCATGTCAAACCACTGTTTCCCCTTTGTCATTTCTTAGGTCAATTAAAAGTTGTTTTTAAAAAAAAAGAAGAAGAAGGAAAAAGGACCCTACCACGGCGCGATGGTGCACTCCTAGTAATCCCAGCGACTCCAGAGACTAAGGCAGGAGGATCATAAATTCGAGGTCAACCTCAGCAATTTAGCAAAGCCCTAAGGAACTTAGGGAGACCCTGTCGCAATAAAATAAAATATCTGGGTTTGTAGCTCAACAGTACAGAGCCCCTGGGTTCAATCCCTAGTTTAAAAAAATTTTAAAAAGTACTTAAAAATGTTAAGTGAAAAACGGAGACTATATGGAGTTCAAGAACGTGCAAGAACAATTTGTAGAGATTGATGAAAAAACCATGATTACCTAGGGGAAGAAGGTTATTGGCTGGTGAGGAGCAACAAAGGACCCCTTGGGGTGGTGGTTCTGCATTTTGATCTGAGTGGTAAAAAAAGTATATACATGTGAAAAATTCAAAAGCAGCCGTATACTTAAGATTAGTGCACTTTACATATTTTAAACAAGTATTTTTAAGGTCAGCTTTTAAAAATCCTACAGGACATGGAAACATTTTTTGCAAAGATGCAAATGGCTGTCATTTGGGAAACCCGGATCCAGATAAGCTCACTAACAGCAACCAAACTTCTGAGAGAATATTATGAAAACCTAATACTTGTATCAGGCACTCCCATTGTTGAAGGGTTCTAAATCTTAGAACTGTTTCTACTATTGAGCTTAAATTTGCTTCTCTGTCAGTAAACCTGATTCTTATATGTTATTTTCTTAGTTCACCTTCACAAAAATGATAAAAACCAAGGCTAACCCTAGTTCTTCATGTAAAAAAATGTTTCCAAATCACCTTATCATGCTGCTCAACTTCTTCTATATTCACTTAAAACCCTCCTTGATGCCCTTCAATAGACGAATGGATTAAAACAATGTGCCATTTATACACAATGGAATATTACTCAGCACTAAAAAATAAAAAGATCATGGTATTTGCAGGCAAATGGATGGCTTTAGAGCAGATCATGGTAAGTGAAGCTAGCCAATCCCTAAAAAACAAATGCCGAATGTCTTCTCTGATATAAGGGGGGGTGACTCAAAATGGGATAGAAAGGAAGAGCATGAGAAGAAGACTACCACCAAATAGGGAAGAGAGGTGGGAGGGAAAAAGGGAGAAGGGGAGTTGCACAGAAGATGGATGGAGAACCTCATTGTTATACAGAATACATATATGATGTTGTGATGAGAAAAAAAAGTGTGTCACATTAGATTGGATAGATAGAAAGGATGGGAGAGGAGGGGAGGAGTAGGAGGGATAGGAAGGGCAGCAGAATAAAATAGACATTGTGATTAATGTATGTACATTCCATGTATGTATTATATGTCAAAATACATTCTGCTGTCATGTATGACTAAAAAATAATTTAAAACCCCTCCTTGAAAATATTTAATAGTTGGCACAAAGAGAAAAGACTCCTGCATTCTAGTCCTGACCCTGCCACAAAAGAGTTCACCATGTGCAGGTTGCTCTTCCATGAAGAACCTCGAAAGGGGGCTCACCCAGAAAGTCATTTGGACCTTAATGTTAGCTGAGGCAGCAGTAAATGTTACCATGTCATTTTTCTAGTGACGGTCTGAAAATTCCATTCCCTACTCCCCACTCTTAGTGGGATATTTACACCTTTCTCAGGGGCTGCAGAAAGGATTGAAAGTTGAGCACTTTCCAAATTTACTGTACTATGAAATACCTGGAATTTAGTTAAAAGTAGATTCAGACTCAGTAGGTCTAAGGTTGTGGGATTCTCTATTTCTAAAAAGTTCCCGGCTGGTACTGAAACTGCTCATTTGGGATCCCATTCTGAGAGACAGAGTCTACTCTAAATTTTCCAGACAGCTGAGCCCTTCTGTCCTCTGAGAAGTCCTAAATAGTTATCTGCATGGCTATCATCCAGATATTCCTCTGAATATTGGCTATCTTTTCTCATTTTTCCATGAAAAGTTATGTATTGATTGCATATAATAGTGGATGATTCACAAGTTTTAGTCCAATATACTATTGGACTATTATTATTATGTACTATTATTCAATTTAGATATATTGCATAGTATATCACATAGAATGTGCCAATAATCTTCTTTTCCTTTTTTTTTTTTCGTGTGTGTGTGTGTATGTGTGTATCTTTTTGACAGTGCTGGGGATCAAACCCAGGGCCACCCACATGGGAGGTATGAGCTGTAACATTGAGCTACATCCTCAGCCCAGAAATCATTTTTTAAAATTTTTTTAAAGAGAGAGAGGGGAGGGGAGAGAATCTTTTTTTATTATTTTTTGTAGACGGACACAACACAATGCCTTTATTTTTATGTGGTGCTGAGAATCGAACCTGGGACCCGCCCGTACTAGGCGAGTGCTCTACCGCTGAGCCACAATCTCAGCCCCCAACAATCATTTTTATAACCAAGTAATTCCCACAATCCCAGCCCCCAGCAATCATTTTTATAACCAAGCAATTCCATAACTTTGCTTGGATGACCCTTTCAATGGTCAACTATACCAAAGTTTCTGAAGACAACAGCTTTTCCACCCAAACAGGTTACACATAAATTTCCAATGGAACCTGGAATCACCCTCAAGGAATTTTAATTTCCCGTGTTGGGGAAGTTTACCAAGATTATTTTAAATAGAAGAACTTTATGCAGTACGCTTTTAGAAAGACATTGGATCAGTGTCATGACAAGACTATTATATTTAGTAATTAACTACATGGGTGTAAAAAAAATTAAAATCTATATTGAAATCCTCTGTTGGAATGCTTTACACTGTCCATAGAACAGAAACCAACATCACAATTAACATTTTAAATAACAATGAGTCATAAATATAGTCCTTGAAATTCTTTCCAATACACATGACCATTGTCTAAAACATGTCTTCCTTGTAGCAACTAGAACCTGCTACGACTCCACTTGCCTGACCAACCTATCTAGAGTAACCCACTCTCACATGTAAATGTACCGCAATTAAGGAAAAGAGTATGGAGGCTCCCAAAAGAAACTAAAAAACAGTAGAATGTTTGGCATACACCTGCAATCCCAGCCACTCAGGAGTTTAAGGCAAGAGAATTGCAAGTTCAAGATCAGCCTGAGCAACTTAACAAGACTCTGACATAAGATAAAAAAAATTAAAAATTTTTTAATTGTAAAGCACTGCTGAGGTTCAAGCACCCATATTGAAAAAAGCTAAAACTAAAAATAGAATCCCAGGGCTGGGGTTGTGGCTCAGTGGCAGAGTGCTTATCTCACACATGTGAGGCACTGGGTTAGATCCTCAGCACCACATAAAAATAAACAACAAAATTAAGATATTAAAATATATTTAAAAAATAGAATCCCATATGATCCAACTGTCCCACTTATGGGTATCTATTCAAAGGAAATGAGATTAACATATCAAAGAGATACCTATATACCCATGTTTATTGTAGCATTATTCATAATATAGAATAAACTGAGATGTTCACTAACAGATGATTAGAAAAAGACAATGGAATATTATTCAGCCATAAAAAGAATGAAATCCTGTCATTTTTTTGCAAAATGGATGGAAATGGGAGTCACTATATTAAGTGAAATAAGCCAAGTACAGAAAGATAAATACTGCATGTTCTATCTCATATGTGACCTCAAGTAGAATAAAGTAGACTAATGAAGTACAGAAAGACAAATACTGCATGTTCTCTCTCATATGTGACCTCAGGTAGAATAAAGTAGACTAATGATTACTGGAGGCTGGGAAGGGCAAGGAAATAAAGGGTGGTTGGATAACAAGTCACAAAATACAGAATGATAGGAACAATAAGTCATAATGTTCTGTAGCACAGTAGGGTAATTGTAGTTCACAATAATTTGTTATATATTTGAGAAAAACAAGAAGAGAGGTGATCAAAGGTGCCAAACATAAAGGAAATGGTAAGGAAATGAAATTGCTAATTATTCTGTGTTGATCATTACATATTATATACATGTATTAAAAATTATCACACAGCACCCCACAAAGGTATACAATTATTATGTGTTAATTATTACATGTTAATATTGCATGTTAAGCAAGAAGAAAATAATGAAATCAATAATAAAGAGGTCCACTCTCACCTAGTTCTCTTTAATATTACTCAATTTTTTTTCATAGCATTTTTTACAATCTAAAAGTATCTTATTTATTTTGTATGTGTATTTTGGTTTTGTCCCCCATTATAATATAATCTCCCTGTTATTTTG